CTCTTATGTAAGTTCAAAAGGCATTATGTGTAAGCGCATGCTTTTTTTGTGGATTATTTTGTGTATCTTCTTTTGTCTTCACTGATGCTTCTCAAGCATGAAATCTAAGCTGACTTACTGCGATCATTATAACGCTAAAATTCGGAGTTCGATCTCCTAGGCGGAAACAGATATCTCATTATATAGTTTTGTGATGATAAAATAAACGAATAAATTCGCGTTCCAATTCATGTTTGGTAAATTTCGTTTTAACCTTTTCTCTACATTAGGAGTGGGCCAAAATTGACCACAAAGTGTTTTTATTGGATTTTTTTCAATGCATAAACCTTGTCTTATGCGTACGCTAGACCTACTTGTTCGTCAACCAACAGATTCCTCTGAAGTTTGTTCTGAATTACTGACAATAAACAAAAGTCCATAAGTGACTGCGAATTACTATTGGCAAGAAAATGTTTACTTACGAGGTTTGACCTTGATCCGTGTTCGGTTTAAGTTTTACTACAGCTTAAATTTGGTTTAGAATTTATGTAGGTCTGTAGAATAGTCAACGCATTTGGGGAAAAATTGACTGTTTGTTTGTTTTGAATTTCGCGCAAAGCTACACGAAGGCTATCTGCCCTAGCCGTCCCTAATTTAGCAGTGTAAGACTAAAGGGAAGGCTGCTAGTCATCACCACCCTCCACCAACTCTTGGGCTACTCTTTTACCAACGAATAGTGGGATTGACCGTCACATTATAACGCCCCCACAACTGAAAAAGCGAACATGTTTAGTAGTACGGGGATTCGAACCCGCGACCAGCAGATTGCGAGTCGAACACACTAGCCACCTGACCAAAGAAAGGTTGGATATACACCTCAGGAGGTTCTTGTTTGGCATCGTGAGAGATTAAGACGTTGAGTAACTTTGTGTTTGAGATCCATCATCTGGGCTTTCCAAGTGAGATGTTTATCGGATATGATATCGAGAGATTTAACAGCGTCAGAGAGTTGGATGGAAACGTTGTCGATAGCGACATTAAATAACAAAAGGCTGCACCATGGTGACACGTTCTATTATTTCTTTTCAGGGACCAATAAGTATCTCTCATATTTTAGTGACATTAATGGTGAGACGTCGGCTTCGACTCCAAGTCAAGAAAAGGTGTTTACGGCGGCTTGAAGAATAATCATAGTCTTGCACATATCTACAAGAGCAGTTTCATCAGCACATGGGTATAATTCAACACGATACTTCGGCTTAGGCATATCATATCAATAATATAAGGGATATACATATAGTAGAGGTGATAGAACGAAGCCTAGTTGACTTCAGATGTAGGTCAGTGGTAGGTTCAAGCTTGGGGGTTTGTGAAAAAGGTTCCAGAAAAAGGCAGAATTTCATTCAAAATCAATAGGTAGCTTACAATAAGGCTTGTTATTGTTAAAATTATTGAACATAGAGCCCAATAATTTGAGAAGTTGATCCAGTGTTGATAGCTGTGGACGAAACCAAGCATGGATAGATACAAAAGTTAGTGATCAGCATTAAATCTATAGAGGCGATGAATTCAAATGCGTTCGAAAATGCTACTGAGGGCACTGGTGGGATGATAAATACTAACATTAGCTGGAGGTTTACTAGATAAACTAATATAATTATTTTAGAAATCAGAGTAAAATCCAGAAAGAAGAAAAAAAGTATAAAATGTTGCAAGTAGAAGAACAAATGCCACTGAAACATGCTTGAGATTACAGTATATAATCCTACCTGAGTCAGGAGCAGTGAGTGCCCCTACCTCTCAGATCGAACTGGAGGTCCTTGTCTATCAGGGGCTCATTCTCGTAACTATTATCCAGAACATGTGCTGCAGTGAGGGGAGGTTCAGAAAGAGAATGATAGTAAATTCCAGAATACTTGTTACACTTTCACAGTCGAGAGGATGTTGTTTCAGAACTGTAAAGTTTGTTTCATATAAGGAGGAAAAACATCAAGTTTTCAAGTAAGGAAGGAGGCACAGCACCTTCAACGAGAATCAAATATTTTTTCTGTTCCAGTACTGGGAAGAATTTGAAGAATGTCGAAGATGGATTCAAACTTAGTGCCTTCGCCGCCTCTTTACTGCTAAAAAAATACCAGAAGTCCATTTTAGACCTGTATGATGTAATAAAAGAGATGGGTCACGACAGCAATAATTGTCCCGAAGCAATGACGAGGATAGTCGTAATAGATTTATTGCTTGGCGAGGTAAACCCGACTTGAGTGGTGTATGGTGACAAGCTGGGATATATAAGGAACTGGCAAAAGTAAAAGCATTTGCAAGAACTGTTGCCATTGAATTAATATAATCATTACAGAAAAGATTCCTATCAACATTCGAAATATTTATTTCAACGTGAATCTTTTAAGAATACCAACTGGAGTTATGGTAGTTTAAGATGGTCCTATTTGTATCGGTATGGTAATAGGTTACCCTGGTTAAGCCTGTATGGGGAGGTGGTCATTACCCAATGGCTCACACATGCTGATAGAGGGAAGAGAAGCTAGATTCGCCGAAGCTATAACAACATCTGGAGAAGATTTTTATTCCATATAGCTTGGAGAAGAAAGAGGCAACACAGATCCAGTAATATTCTACAAAGTAGATTGAAACTGGACAAATTCTTTGGAATTACTGCTATGATAGTTGATATCAGCCAAAATAACTTCTAAAATTTCTATCCAAGTAGTATATAGTAACCCATCCATATTCATTATATTCCCCAGACAACTACTGAGCGCCTTAGTCTGTCCACTTTCCTTCCAGAATCATCACACTAGCTACTATATACTACTATAAAAATAAACGCAACTATATATATCCACCCCACCTCTGCTAATACCTTGAGGCTGTTCCCAGCGACGAAAATTGTAGCTAGGTAATTTTGCCTTTAAAGTTGCTTTGAGGAAAGTCTCATTCAAGATAGTGCAATCATAGGACTCTTCTTCGAGCAAAGTTTCTAAAAAAAGGTTGGTTTATGAAGAAGGAATGTATGTTAACCAAGAAACATTCAAACAGACAATTTAGATGTATTATTGTGCTTCAGGATCCCATAAATGACAGAAATGAAAGTGAATGTTCAGTCCAGAATAAGTGTCATATATAATGAGTATAAAAACAGACTTAGCTGTATAGTTGATGCTGTTCAGGACAAAGGCTCTTTGAAATAGATGAATATTTTATAAAGCGATAGTAATAAATACAAAAATGTCGTATATGATCAGAAGTTAAGACTAGAGGTTTGAAGAAGGTGTAACGGGATCAGTGGTATTAATAGCAGCCACAGCAGTGGAATCATTAGGTGTTGGAAATGGTCTTTATGTGGTAAGCGATCTGATAAATATTTCAAAGGGAGGAAGAGCTTAACTTAGCTCACTGTCTGATGATAATCCCGAAAATGTGGGAAGACTGGCTTATTAGGATATTTTGTAGTTCCATGAGTGTTGTAGTCCAGGCACTTTTCATTGTGCAATAAGTGAAGTGGAGGGATTCTAGAAGTTTCCACCCAATATCGTTGCTTAAAGATGAAATCACTACACTGAAGAAGATGGTCAATTACATCACTGCTTTCTGCTAAAACACGAATTATGAAGGTTAGTCCTTGAACATTATTAATACGTATTGTTCACATTATATACATATTGTTTTCAATTAGCTCTGAAGTTATTTCTTTTTCTGAAAAAGCTGGAGCCACGCCACAAATTACACATGAAAACAGTGACATTCGATGAGATGGTGGTTTTTTTAAGATAAGGGGATCCAAACTTCTGCATGGTAGTGTTCGAGCTTAAATTTGAGATCCCTTATTAGTACAAAGAATTTCGAATAACTAAGAATTATAGGTTTTAATTATTATTGCATTGTGAATTTGGTGGCTTTCAGCTTAAAAACAATACTTAGAGATCTCCAAAGGATGTATGAGTCATATAGAATTTAGAGTTAATTTCAGATAACAAAATCACTGATAAACAAGTTTTTATTTACTTCAAAAGTTCATTTGGATACCAGTTATGTACTAGTTATGTATCGTTATGTATCGTATAGTTATGAAATACATGTACATATGGTGAATGAATAAACAAATAATTATGTTTCTAATTTTCCAGGACGCCCATGGATGTACATATTGAAATTATTGTGAGAAAAAACTCTAGCTTAACGTTATTTTTAGCAAAAATATTAGGACTATGATTTACAATACTTCTCCAGCCTTTAATGTTCAAAACTTTAAGTCTGAAGGCAATAGGCGAAGTATTGATTGAATCTTGTGAATTAAATAATGAAGAACATGAAAGAGAAAACTAGCTCTTAATACTTATCTATATAAATAGAATAGTACTGTCCGTTGTGTGCCCATGTAACTACTTCGCAGAGTGTGAATGGATACTCACCAAAATTAGTATGGAGGTTCATTGAGTCCATGGGATGATAGATACAAATTTTCAGGTTTGCAGTTTTGAAGGGCGTTTTTTACCGCTACCTCACCAACTGTAGATGGATCTTCACCAAATTTAGCATGAAGGTTTTTTGGGTCCATGCAAACTCGCGGTTTCACATTTTGTGTTTTGCAGTTTTTATGGGTCGTTTTTTTTTTTTTACAATTACATATAAGGGAAGCAGCTTTTCATGTCCAAAGATAACCTTACATTAATAATAAATTTGCATAACATCTACCCAGTTAGTTATTAATAAAATATTAATACTTTACTAACTAATACTTTCAATCAAATAGTCTTGGGATTTTTTAATGTGATAATGATATTTATTTTCGCTTTTTTTGAAGACCTTTAAAATGCGATTTTATCATAGATTGTCACTAACAGATTTTTGAGAACTTGTTTTCATTGTCATATTTGAATCTTTTTTTTTCCTCGTAACAAATACAATCTTTTTATATTTATTGGTGACTTGTTGTTTTTTATTATAAACTTATGCTGCTATCTATTGGACGTATAAAATTCGATGTACTTTATTGTGTTTTTCTGGGTTGCTAAGCAGCGAAATTTATGTAGTCTTTTATTGTTGTTTTTATAAAGAAGACGTAACGATAAAGACGGCTGGACGTATTTGTATTTTTATATCTCATGCTAAACTTGTATATGTTTGAGTCTTAAATAAAGTTTATTATAGAGTTATTGAATGTTCTAGTTTATTTTCCAAATCGTGAAAATGGCAGCGGGATTTGTTACTTGTGGGCCCAACGAAGCTCTTGTTATTTCAGGTAGACCGAGGCTAATAGTAATGCCATTACTTAGTTATATTATATTTAGTATTACTACTACTACTAGTTTTAGTGTATTACCACTTCCAGTAATAGTATTAGTATTACTAGTAGGCTACCATCTTGACTATCAATATGAAGTTGCACGAGATAAGCCTAACAGTTACTGAGTTAGGGTCTACTGTGGGTGTGATTAAAAAATGAAAATCTAATCCAGGGTTAAAAAGTGTCGGAAATAAATAACTTACGTATATTACTGACTTACAAATTACATTTACATTCGCCTAACAAAGTACAAAATATTTCCTACAAAGTATTGAGGCTAAGCTATATTTTACTTATAGTTTTAAATATATGATGATAATAAATATGCCTATATAAGTGTATTGAAATTGATTAACATTTTTTGATTGAACAAATGCAATGGCGTTTCACTAAAAACTGTATCTTTTTTTTTAAATTAGATTTATTGAAAGTTTGATACCTCTGAACACAATTAAAACACTTTGCTGGAGGTTTTTTCTTTGTAATACAGTATTCCATTGGAATATCTTTCTTAAATGGATAAGTATAGATGTTGAATTATTAATTAATGAAAAAAAAAATGTTATTAACGAATAAGAATATAAAATGCACGAAAGTTAGCAACAGTATGATGGTAAATGGTAGGGTTTATTGAAATACAGGAAAAGTCAAAGAAATTATTGTTCAATTTGTTGAAATATATAGATCTCAAAAACTTGTTATTTTTTGTTACATATATTAATAAAAATCCCTTAGAACAAACCACTGAATATAACTTGAAGGGATTTTATTTATACATCAGTTTTAAAAACAAAGTTAACTGAGGATAAAGTGTAGTTTAATTTTTATATTAATTTAATTAAGGATAACATTGTCTCTGTAAGAGATTTTAAAAACAATCTTACAACAGAAAAAGAAGAAAAAGTATGACACAAGAATGGATAATTTTTTTTACTTGTTTATTTGTGGGTGAAAAAGAACATATTTTTAAACTGACTAATTTTGTTCAAAAGGTGTGTGAGTATTTTTCTATAGACTCTTTGTTTTGAAGAATAAGATGTTTTTGACAAGTTTGAAAATTTTGCAAAGAGTAGAGCCTCTAGCTTTGATACAGTTTTTCTTAAGTACATAAAGAATTTTGGCAAACAGTTAGTGGGAGACTTTCACTTGTTTCTCACTCTTTTTTTTTTTTTGGTTTTGCAGATTGCCAGTAGGCAATTGAAATAGATTCTTTAAAGACATTTAATAAATTATTTTTAAAGTTGGCATTTAATTAAGAATTTTAAGTATGATTTTTAGAAAAAGATTTTCATAACTTTATCAACTAGTTGGAGTTTTTTTTGACAAGGCTTCTTTTATGTATGGTGCTTTGAGTTGTATTTTTACTTACCACATTGTATCTATATTTTCCTATATAAATATAGGTTCTCTGTAGTAAATGATAGACAACGTAAAACACCATACATATAATATACACTCCTACACTGTATAAAGCCTTTTTAACCAGTACATTCATATTTTAATTTCCTCATAATTGCAAATACAAATGTTTTTGGTTGGTTCGGTGATATGTCATTTTTTTATTTTAAATGGATGAGAGGGTTATCTTTCACCTTGCTTTTTCTTAAGTTCATGAATATCAAATATTGTGTTTAGTTAGGTTGATGTTTGTGAGTAGGCATTATCTAAATATATTAGTATGTGCTTGATTATTTGAGAGGTAGAATGATACAAAATAATATAGTTAGTGTAGGTAATATTTAGTTATTAGGGTGCCCTTAATGAATTGAATAACTTTCTGTCATTTAATTGTATACTTACATGTAGCTTCTCATGATTGTAGATATTACATTGTTATCATCTCCTGATGTTAAGCTAGATGATATTACAAAATTCCATAATATTACATCAGAGATACATACAGAAAAGTTAAGTCCACATTTTAATTTTTTTTTTCCATAGGTAGGTTAGGCAAAGACTGTCATAAAAATGAATGGGTTATATGTAACTTTTATGCTAGTGCTGTTTACTTTGTTGCAGGTATTTCCCACAGTATAGTCAGTTAGGGTTTGCAAATAGGAGATTCAACAAATATTATATCACAGAACATCGGTTCATTACCTTCTGAACTCTGAGTTCATCATATTGGGGCCAGTACACAGGAAAGTAAAAACTCCAATATTTAATAGACAAAAAAAGTCAAAGCACAAACACAACACAATGAAACGAAACAAAGTGTAAGTTTTTATAATGAATGTAAGCTTCTATTGTCAATTAAAGAAAAAAAGGAAAGTTAAACTACAAAATTTAAATAACCCCTGAAAGTTAAGCTCAAACACAGTGAAACAAAATGTTGTTAGTTAATGAAAGTTAAATGGAAACTTTCTAAAGAAAGTCAAACTACCATCCTGTACACCACACTAGTAAAAGTAAAATTTAAATTGATTGTTACTCATGTACAGTTATAATCTATTCAGAACATTTAATTAATAGAATTGTTTTTTCTGGAGTAAAAATTAAGAAAAATCGAAAGACTTACACTCTTCATAAACAATATAAATAAATACTATAAAGTATTCTATTAGTGACACTATAAGCTATTGAAATTGTATCTTGCATTAATTGAGGCTGTAAGAAAAAGTTATTTAAAATGCATTGTTTACAATTATCTATATTTACGTATATTATACTTATTGTTTTTTTTCAAAGACAATGTTCAATAATAAATATATGTATATAGTACAAATGTGAGGTTTCAGGTAGTGGTCATGCATTGGAGTTATAAGCCCATTGCATATGTTTAATATTTGAATATTGTATGTTAAAAAAGTTAACATTTATTTTTACAGGATGTTGCTATGAAAGTCCAGCAATAGTGCCTGGTGGAACAGCATTTGTTTGGCCCTGTATTCAACAAGTACAAAGGTGTGTACTTTGCTACATGTTAAGGTTACACTAAATAAGAATCCATAGAAAATACCACACTTTTCTACATCTAAAGATGTCAATCAAATTAATATTCTTTGAAAGATTTAGCAGCCCAAACAAAAGTTATGAGGTAAAATCTGAAAAACAGTTTTTCACAGAAGAGTTAAAAAAGGTTTTGCGATGAATATAATGGGTTTATGCTTTTACCTCATTTCTTAAACAAAACGAACTCTTTAAATATTTTTTATACTAATATTACAAGTTTTCATTGCTCTCTTGATACAGGTATAGGGTGTACTCAAAATGTTTAGCTTTTTGGAGAAGATTGTTTATTACACTTACCTCTATCAGGTCAATCTTTCCTTGAACATGTGATATACATACACATGTAATAGTAACAAACAAAATTGTCTTGTTGATAAAGATATTTTGAAATAGTCTAACAATGAATAATAACGAATATAAGGTTTGATTAGCAAAGAAAATCAATATACCAAGCTACACATGTACATGTGAAACTTGAATGTCTCATGTCTAAATAACAATTATATTATTACATAGATGTTGCTTAATTGTGAAACATACATGTATAGCATTTTCAGTATATTTGTAAATAATCTAAACTAGTCTTGTACAACTTCCAACAATTATGATAAATTTATCAAGTGTAAAATTTCATGACAAAATATTTTAATCATACAAGCATTTCATACTTATTTTGAATCTAAACAGTAGTAAAAAACAAAACATTCCTGGAAATCTGTAAAAGTCAATATTAGTGATTAACAGTGTCAGAATTGTTTGTATTTGGCATTAATGTATTTTAAACATACCTCCTAGATTTACCTTTAGCCTTTTTAGCATTATGAGCTCTGTAAATATTTAAGCTGTGAGAAGGATTTGGTGATTCCTTTTTACTTAAATTGGAGTAAAAGATTACTTATTAGAGATATGGAGTCATTACAGTATTATACCTTTGAAAGTTCTTTCATTAACACACCTGTACTTTTATTACAAAAACTTAGCAGATAAATTCTGCCTATTCCAGCTGTATCAGCAAGTGGAACTTATGTCTGAAAGAGGTTAAGTCTAGTTGTACTTGTTAAAGTGATTTATCTGCCTCTTCCAACTGTATCAGCAAGTGGAACTTACGTCTGAAAGAGGTTAAGTCTAGTTGTATTTGTTAAAGTGATTTATCTGCCTATTCCAGCTGTATCAGCAAGTGGAACTTACGTCTGAAATAGGTTAAGTCTAATTGTACTTGTTAAAGTGAAGCTTTGTTCTTATGGTTTAACTATTAAAAAAGATTTCCTTTTTTTTGTCTTTGTAGTTTTAGAAGCTAATTTTATAGGCTATCATGTAGACAAAGTTCTTATGTTAAGCCATACTAAAAGCTTTGAACTTGCAGCCAGAACATTGTAGTAGTTTAACGAAGGATTTCAGTATTGTTTATCAATAAGTTTAGTTTTTTAGAATTTGCATTAACTTTCTTATCTATATTATCTTTTTAGAAAAAGTTTTAGTTCTCTACACATATTGAAAAAAAAAAGAGAAGGACATATGAAAAGTAAATAAAATGTCTGTTGTTGAATCAGATCATCCACAAATCTTATATTTCCTGTGTTTTTCTATTTCTTCTTTATAAACTTCTAAAACTTGAAATTAATATATTTTTAACATAATACTGTTATGAATGATGAATTCTTTTCCCATGTACCATACATGGTCATCTAGCCATGAAAATACAACTCAGTTATCCTTTAAAGATTCCATATTGTTATTTAAGTGTAAGCCAAATAGCAGCTGCAGGGACTATTGGTGTTAAGTTAAAAAATGCAAGACCTTTCAGAAGGTATGCTAGAAAATTGGAGGGCAATTTCAGTTTTATAAGCTACCCACATATTTCACTAGCCAGCACTCAACATTTATCTGTTGTTGAACCACTCTTGAAATATTTAGTTTGATTTACTTATTGATATATACCAATCTTAAATTTATTTCTAAACAAATGATTTATATATATGTGCATCAAGAATACACTTTTGGCTCAAAGGCGTGACTAAGTGTATGTGAAATAAAATGGTTGGGAACTACTGATCTAGGTTGTACTTTACATATTAAACACTTCAGAATATCCAGATTAGTCATGCATAATTAATTTTTTTTTTTAGGATAATTAAATATTCAAACCGCATGTACATAAAGCTTATGAAGAATATTTAGTTTAGGAGTTTTTAGTATTTAAGGCTTTAAGGATTTTCTAGATAAAAAAAAATTACCCATCAAGGATTTTATGTAAGTTGATAAACTTGGAATGAGATGAATATTTATAGTGTTCTCAAAATGAGAGAGACAAAGAAGATTCATACTGGATTTGAATACTGTGTAGTGTACTAATAGTGTGAGTTGTAGACTTCTTGATCAGAATTATCAGTTTGAACTTGAAATATGAGAGTTATGTTTTTTTATCTTTCATAATATGTATGTGTAGAAGGCAGTTATGTTCATTTACTGGAGTGTTTTGGTGCTATAGCTTCAAAGAACTTATTGCTGTGTAAATTTTTATTGTATATTTGTTTCAGAATAAACCTCAACACCATGACTTTAATGATTGAGAGCCCTACAGTTTACACTCAACAAGGAGTTCCAATATCAGTCACTGGAATTGCTCAGGTATTAAAAAAATATATTTTATTGAGTTAACTAGTTGTAAGTAACTAGTGACATCTTATATTGGGATATGATCATAAATATCTTAATCTCAGTCCATATAAAAGTGAAAAGAAATTAAAACCTCTTCAGCATACTACATAGTTTTTGTCTGTATCTATCTATTTATATATATATATATATGTTTACATCTATGTAGCATAGGTTGCTGCTGATCGATCTTATACTTGCATGTCTGTAATCAGAAATGCTATGTGTATGTTATATTTATTATTGAATATTTTGTTTTGATCTCTTTGCATGTTGTGCAGGTTAAAGTCCAAGGCCAGAATATGGAAATGCTTCGAACTGCTTGTGAACAGTTTCTTGGAAAACATGAGAATGAAATAATGCACATTGCTCGGGAAACACTCGAAGGACATCAAAGAGCAATCATGGGCCAGATGACTGTGGAGGTGAAATAATGATGATGTATTGTAAAAATAACCTTTTATATTGTGTTCTTATATGCTTCATTTCTTTATTGTTAAGTGATAACCCTCAGATTCTTGTAAGCAAAAGTGATACATAAAATTAGGAGTAACAAGTAACTACTAATGGTCTTATAAATTAAAGAAACTTTTAGACATTTCCCACATCAAGTATTTATGCTTAAAATTGTTTTAATTCCTATTTTGGAGTATTTGTCATGTTAGGTATGATTTCTGTGAATTTCACTGGCCAGTTTAATGCCATTCCTCTTTTCTGGTTCCGGGTGTGTGGTTGGATTGCTTCTGTTTTTTGTTCATTCTTTTTTCAAGACATTTGACTACTGTAGTTACTCTTCTTTTCTCTTGTATTTTGTTTACTTATATGATTTGCCTCTTATAAATTTTATTTTCCTCTCTTTGTAGTTTTTAAGGTAAGAGTATACTGGAAAATTTTCCCATCACTTTTCTTTCCTCTTTAAATCCCGATATTGAAGTTCCTCGTTTCAAAGAGCAGCACCACATTGTAAGAATTTTCCAAGATGATACTTTACCTCCACATAAAGAATAGTTTGATCACTCATTCATCTGCCTATGAGATTTGCATACCACTTGTCTTGAGCTAAGTCCCACTTAAAAATCACCTGTTTAACTTGAACTACACTAGTACATGATGACATCATCATGTGACGATAATCCTCCACCAATAGAAATATGACACAGCATCCTTACACAGTAACTCCTCCTAAGCACTTGCACTTGAAACAACTTTATTCCTTTCCTTGGAATAACCAAGTTTCATGTTTCTTTCATTACTAAAGAACAAGAAATAATTTTTTTTCTCACTTATCCATTATAGATTCTCAAGTGGTGGTAACTTCTACTTCATCCTGTGATGGTGACAATGTTACTAACGTGGAAGAAAATCCTCACCATTCTAATCTCTTTCTTGATATGATTTTGCAGTAATTTCCTTTTCTTTCTCAACTGTCTTTTGATTCCTTCGGTTCTTTACTACACAAAACCTCTACTCAAGATCAATTTGTCTTTCATCCTTCTCCTGATATTAGGGTTCATGCAAACTCGTTTTTTGAACAACTGCACATCCATACTCACATATCTCACCTTCCTCGCCTTCTTGTTTCTCTTGTCCTTGCTTACAACCATTCTTCATTTCCATTTTTTGATTCCTAGTCTTTGGAATCTCTTTTACCTGCTTGGGGAAGGACCCCCCTAACTTCTATTTCACTTTCTAGTACCCAGTTTTTATGCATTTGTCTCTTTCTTACCACCCTTCTACATTTCTTATCATCCCTCTACCATATTCATGAGACACTTCATTGTGCTCCTGAAGGGTTTTCCGGAGAGGTTCATTCTCTCCTTTTTACCACATTATCCTGTACTACTACTTCTGTTCTATTACTCCTTGCTTGATTTCTCTGCTGTTGAGACTTGTTTGGTCAGGATGCTCTCTTAACTAATGTTTGCCTCCCTCATCCTTATATTTGTGATTTTCATTGGGCTCTTTTTCTTCACCTGGAGGTCTTTGGTGGTTTTCCTGACACTTTGGAAACTATGGCTATAGTGTTTATTGCCTTCTTTGGTTTTTCATCTTTATCACCCTCTCCCTGTTATTCCTGTTCCTAGGCCTGCTCAGTACATATCTTCCCTTCCCATTCTTGCTTCATGTACTTTTTATTCCCATCCTCCCACTTCACGACATCAAGGTCATCTTGCATCTCATCAGTGACTATCCTGTCAAGTCTGACCCAGTGGGCACCTGTCTGTTTTGCTTCACCAGCCTTTTATCTCCATTTTTGGTCGACAGATGGGTTTTTCAGGTTCTCACCCATGGCCTGTCTCTCCACTCTTCCTCCCCTCTCCTTTTCCTATTTCTTTTCTTCTTCCTCCTGACCCCATTTATCTTCAGTGTCTCAAGGATGCAGTCTCAGGTTGCTTGGCCAAGAATACCATCAAGAGAGTATTTACCCCTACTCCAGGATATTACTCTTATATCTTTGTTGTCCTCAAGAAGACCAAGGACTGGCATCTGGTTATCAGTCTGTCATCTCTCAACTGCATTGAAATTATCCCACAGTTCTGAATGTAGGGTTTCAAGGTTGACATGTTGGATGCTTTTTTTACACATTTTGATTGCCTCATTCTCCAGACAATATTCTTTATTTCAACCATCAGAATCTAATTTTCCAGTTCTGTGCTCTTCCCTTTGACACTGAGTCTTCTCTTTATGTTTTCATTTGATTCAGGGGTGCATTTGCCCACCATATTCACAGAATGGGGTCTGAGATTCCATCATACATGAATGACTGGCTTTTACTTGCCCCTTCTTGGGAGGACTTCTTCTCTCACACCTCCATTCTTTTGCAGGAGATTGCTCAGCTGGACTGGCTAGTCAAACATTCCAACTCTTTTCTCATACCTTTCCAATACATTTGGTACATCTGTGCATGTTCTTCAACTCTCATCTCAGTTGAGCTCAGCCTTCACCTGTGAGCAATGGAATGTTTTGTTACCAAGATTTGTGCTTTTCCTTTACATGCTGCAGATGAGGTTCTTTTGCTTTTAGAGACTCTGTCTTTGCTAGCACCACTCATTCTTTTAGGCGGCATACACATGTGCCTCTTCAGTGGACATTGTGAGACCAGTAGAACCTCTCTCATTATCCACTGTCCTTGGCAATGTGCATCCCTTCTCTTCTCGAGGTCTTGTCTTGGTATTTCACTGTGCCAATACCATGGTGAGCATCCCCATGCCACTCTCTGAGTGGATCTACATCTTTTCACAGATGCTTCTCTGTCAGGTTTGGGCACATCTGTGAATAACAGCATCACTTCGAGCATGTGGCCTTTGGAGGAGCATTCATTGCACCTTAACATACTCAAGCTTCTTGCAGTTCATAAGGAAAGTTCTCCTTTTCTTTCCTCTTCTTGTGGATCAGTTGATCACCATCTACTTTGACAATTCCACAGTCATCTATCATTGGGTACCCATTCCAGGACTTTTTGCTTCAACACTTTCGACTTTCTATTTTGGGCTCATTCCCATTAGATACATCACATAGCTTGTCATGTGCCAGGAGCTTTGAACCTGGTGGTGGATCATCTTTCTTAGCCAGACCAGATTCTACCCATGGAGTGGCCACTTCACCATCAGGTTTTTCATTGGGTTTGCTTTCAGCTGGGCATGCCCCTCATCAGTACTTTGGCCACTCTTCTCAAAACCAAACTTCTGGTTTCCAGTTATTCATAATTTGACCCTGGTGCTTGATGCTCTCAGCCAGAACTGGTCTCATCTTTTTTGTTTCTCTATCCTCCTCTTTGTCTTCTCCTTCGTGTTGCCTTGACATACAACACTCCTAATTGGGTCTTGTCGGCAATGCCTCCTTGCCCTACACTACCTTGGTTTCCTCTGCTTTGTCAGTTGGCATCCAGGCTCCCTCTTCCTTTGCCCCATACTTCCCTCTCTTTTGATCCAACCTCACATGGCTATTTTTTCACCTAGGTGTGTTGTCTCTTCAACTTCACTTGTGGGATTTGTCTGGTCCATCACCCATAGGGCTGGACTCTCTAATCATGTAGCCTTCTTCTTATCTCATTCTTGTTGCCCTTCAACTTTGTCTGTCTATCAAAGGAATTGACAAGTTTTTGATGTTGGTCCATCTGCCATTCCCTTCCTCTGGGCCATCTTGCTGTGTTCCACCTTTTGGCATTTTTAACAAAACTGCCTGATACGTTGCTATGGTCTAAACCAACAACATAGCAAGGTATCAGGCAGTATGTCAACTACATTTTATCTTTCCCATTACTACCAATTGTTTTCTTTCCCTGGTCTTTCCACCTTTTTCCAGTCCTTTATTGTTCATCGACATTCTCCTCCAACTCTCATGCCTACCTGTGATCTTAATGTGGTTTTACGTGCTTTCACATGGACTTTGTTTGAGCTGTTGCTTTCTGGTCTTTATACAGCCTTTCTTTGAAGACATACTTCCTTCTCCTTTTTGCCTGTGGTCACTGTCATTCGAATATATATATATATACCATTAATTCTTTCTTCATTCTCTTTCTTCATACGTATTTACTCCTCTATCCAGATTGGGCTTTTCATCCCAAGACTTTGGCTGCTTGGAAAGGTGATCATTCTTTGGTTCCTATTTTTCTTCCTTCCATCTCTCACCTTTATGCTTGTTTGTTTCATTCCACACAGTGTTATTTGGCATTATGTTCCCTTTTTTGGGTTCTAATCATCATTCATTTTTGCCTGAATGTGTTTGCCAACTCTTGATGGTTGATGTATTCTTTCCTGGATATTGACACTTGCAGGATTTTCACATTTCCTTGAATCCAGTTCATCAACTGTCTCACTGTCTTGCATCTCATTTTTGCCAACCCATGGATGAGATCCTTCAGGCTAACATGTGGACAAATCCACACATGTTTCTTCTATTATCTTCATCATTTGACTGTTTTGTCTTCTGCAAGATTCCTCTGATTGCCATTATTCAATCTACACATCATCTTTGAGAAGGATAAGTAGATTTTCTTTTTCATCCCCCTCTTCCCTTTTATAGGATCCTGCCAGATGGCTGATGTTGCCCCTCAGGGGATAGTTATTTTCCAAAATCTGCATCAAGTCAGAGATAATGGAAAGCACTCAACCCATCCACCCTGGCCCTACCAGTGCTCACTATTGAGCTGGAGTGTTCTTCTATACTACTAATAGTATCTTTGTGGTATTAAACTTACTCAGTTGCTCAATCCAGACCATACCTTTTAATGGAATGTCATGGAAAAAGACAGCTGCAAGGAAATGACTGCCCATTTCTTTGGCCTTTGCTTGCTGGCTTTTCAAAATAGGGTTCAAAATATTTTGAACTCCAAACCACATCAATAAAACTTGTAAACATTCAAAACATAGTGGCAAATATATGGTCTTTGTACATCTTTATCATTCAAACAGTATAAAACTTCTGAGTTTTTGAAGCTGGTGGTTTCAAAATCTGTAAAATTCAACTAAAATGCTCTTTTTTTTTACTTTAATTTGAAACTTGTAAAACTAAGAAAAAAAAATCATCTGAAAGTTGGGATTATCTTCTATCCCATAATCTATTTTCTGTAGAACTCCCTTCTTTCCTTAAATTTAGTATAAGTTTCTAAATGTTTAGTTACATCAAGAGTCTATACCATGGTTTTGTGTTTTTGTATGCTATGTCATAATCAGTTAATTTTGTTGATTCCATTGCTTCTTTGTTCATTTTATTAAATGATTACTTTATCACTTGCTTTTCCTTTTAGAAAATGTACACTGGTAATTTGAAGCTAATTTAAAGAATCTACAATTGCGTGAATAATTAACCCTTTCCAGATCAGTATCTTATGCTTTTTTACTAGGGTGCATGACAAATTAAGTTTTCAAAAATTCTGTCTGATCATCCCAACTTCTACTTGAAATTGCTATATATAACATGTAAATTACTTTCAACAAAGTGGCTAGCACCTAATGTTATTTAATTAGGCCTGTGATTGTGTTTGTTCCTATGTGCATATTTGTTGGAATAAAATGGGTTAGAAATAAATAACATGGTTGTGCAGGTATAAAAACTAGCCTAAATCTGCATACAGACTCATCTTTATGGGAAAGTAACATGCATTGTGAAGTGAGTAATACAGTGTAATAAAAAAGAGAAATACAGATGAATCGTGAGATATATAGAATCTGTATAGTCTGTACAATAAATGTGTGTGTGTGAAGCCTGGCTTTTAGGTCAATGGTTAAAACATATTGCATAACATAATAATTTTGAAATGTGTCATAATGGTTTTTACTTCATAATAGATTGTAAATTTATGAAGAAAATCGAATAAGGTTTAAAAACGTTTAATTGTCATCATGCTTTACATTTGAAGTATCTGTGTTTCAGATATGCTGACATTTATGAGTATAATTAATTTACGAAAGCACGTACAGAAATTGTAAACTTGAATTATGTTCTTGATTAAACTAATTTTCTACAGGAAATTTATAAAGATCGAAAGAAGTTTTCCAAGCAAGTATTTGAAGTGGCTTCTTCAGACTTAGTGAACATGGGAATAACCGTAGTGTCATACACTATTAAAGACATCAATGATGACCAGGTATGTCTAAATTATTTTTAAAGTTTATAATACAGATCTTAGAGGAAGTTGTATGTGTATATCTGCATATAATTTAGAAATAGTTCTTGTGGAATTATTCATAGACATTAAAAGGTTGTATAATATAGCTGAACATTTTTTTTGTTTTTAAACAATATTCTAAACTTTGTGTAGATATTTTGTTCAGTCACTAATATTAGGAGTAGAAGAACGTAGCATAGTACCATTATACATAAAAAGAAGAGTATATATTTGTCAGTTTTTCTTGTTATACATACACTATACATTTTGACTGAGAGCAAATATTAAATTAGAACCATGGGAGTTCAAAGTATCTCTTTCACATTTGAAATCCTATTAGCTTGGGTTGAGGATGAATACAGTTATGAATTCATAGCCAGCAATAGTATATTTTAATATACTGTAAGGACAACAAGGGACCATTTGTTCCTTCAATTTTGTTCTTGTACACCCATCCTTGAATCATAGTACTGTAGTGTTTCAGACAGATGAAAAATATTAGTAGATAATACGTGACAAATGAATCAAATTAGTAAGTGGCCTTACTAAATCCCACCTTGCTTTTTAGAATCTATTGATTCCCCTCTTAAACTCACATAATGTGTCAGCCCCCATTAAATTTCAACAAGATCACCTCTTCCCCTACTTTTCTTAAGAGAAAATAAGTTTGGGAATTGTAACTTATCCTCATAAGACAACATTTCCATTCCAAGAATTATCCTAGTAGCCCTTCTCTGAACCCTTTCCAGTGAGTCAGTATCCTTCTTAGATTAGGAGACAAGAACAGTACACAGTACTCGAAAAGAGAGAGGTAACCATTGCTTTTGACTTAATTGTAATCAGTATGTTAATAAATAATTCAAAAACTGTTAGCTTTACTACTAGCAACAGAACACTGCTAAATAGTTTGAATGGCATACCTACAACTATATCAAAATCTTTTTCTTCAGTCATGCTATTGAGTGGATTCTCATCTGTACGAAATGTGTGACAAAATTATGTTAAGACATATACATTACCTTGCACTCACTATAATTAAAGGTAATTGGCCAAGTATTTGTCTAACTCTCCAATCACTCAAAGCCATTATATAGTACCATAACATCATCAGTATAGCTAGAAATACAAACAGTTTAATGTCATCAGTAAACTTTACTGATTTACTAATGATGCTCCTATCAATAGTGTAACATAAATAAGTAAATACAAAGACCCAAGAACTGATTCCAGAGGCACTCCACTGGTAACAAAGGTCTAGTTCGGTTGGATCCATCAATAACAGATTTTTGCTTTCTCTCACTCAACCACATTACAATTCAGTAAAGCCTCACTAATGTGATTTTCTTAGCTAACCTTCTCTTTTGAAAACGTAAGCACATAACTTCCACATTGTTTCAATTATCCAGTTAACAAGTAAAAATTAACACGTTTGTTAGAAAAGATTTCCTTTAGTGAATTGCTAATGACTCTCATTTATGATACCATATTTTAGTGAAAGCTTTTTTAAATCTAGAATTTTTCCCACTACAGAAATAAGATTAACTAGTCTGTAATTTCTAGGGCAATTCTTCTCCCTCCTTTAAGATTATAAATAACATTAGGACCTCTCTAATCTTCAGGCACTTGCCAATTATTGATCTACCAATAACAGAGAGAGTCTTGCACATTTGTTTTTTGAACTTCTTGGAGAAACATTATCTGGTCCTTGTTCCTTATCTGTATTGTTAGTTTGGCCAGCTAGTAGTAATTAATCAACTTGTAAACGTTTAGTGTAAAATTACCTTGTTTTTATGCTAGACTTGGTGATGTTTACAGTGACTACTCAAAATACCAATAGTAAAATAAAAAGGTACTGATGGTATAATGTCAACTACACCTCGTACTGCTCAGCCATTCATTACTAGTATTTGCAGCGTTCTTTTTTCTCCATGTAAAAGTACCTGGTCTCAGGTTGAAGGAAATATTTTAGAAATGTTTTAAAAACTGTCTTTAATGTTTGTTATCCTTTTTTAGCTCAAGTTGTATGAAAGTTATTCTTGAGTTTAACTGTTTTTTTCTCTACTTGTTTCCCTTTATGTTACTTTCATGGCTTAGACAGTAGAAGCATATTTGTATGTTATTGTGCAGCATCAGTGTTTTATCTTTTGCTGTTTTCACTTGTACAATGAATAAGCATTTTTTCCAGCTTATTATTATTATTATGGCACATAAATAATGTGTTTAATTTTTCATGCACTATAATGTGTATATGTATATATATATATATCAAACTTTGATTAACATATACACCTCTTTTATATTTTAGTAGTATAGCTCATTATCTTGTAAATTTTGCTTTAACTTTTCTGTCATAAGACCTTGTGATCTGAATATAGTCAGTGTAAATGTGGATACTATGAGCCTAACCTTTTAAGAACATACCTAGACACTGATTCAATGAATTTGACGATGAGTTTGTTGAAGAAATTATTTCTGGCTCTCAATTTTTTTTTACTTAACTTTGACTATTTCTTTATTTCAGTCACTTAATGCATTCCCTTCTCAGAAGTTAGTGCTAATTCTTCTTTGCTGTTATGTTTCATTTGCCATTACTTTGACAGTGTTTCGGCTCTGTCTGAGTTTATTTTTTGACATCATCTATCTTTACTCTTCTCTGTCTGCCCCTGCCCATTTTTACCATTCTTCTTACCACAAAATATGTTTTTCTGTAGATAGTTGAATTAAGGTATGTCTACAGTAACTTAGCTTTTTCTTTTTTTGATGGTATTAGTAACTTATCTTCACATTCTTGCTTTTTCCATCACTGCATAATTTCTTTCTGTACATGTATTACAAATTAATTAATCACACACTGCTGTGTCAAGCCAGTGGAGTATCAGATCTATAAAAAAACTATTTCATAATAGTAATCTTGTGAAGTAACATCTTTTTTATTTTTTTTACTTGAGCTGAGTACTTTTTTAGTTAGAATCTTTTTCTTAGTGACTTGACCACATATGGCCATTATCTCATAATCCATGTCCTTTACTGTTTATATGAAGCTTATTTTCTGCTTCTCATTCTTTTTGGTCTAGCATCTTTTAGACAAGCAGACATGAAATAAAGGTAATAAAAATGTTTGAACATTTAGATTACAAAGAAGGTTTATCCAGTATCAGTACTATTTAACCTCTTAAGACTTTACCATAATATCCTAAAAATCACAAATTACTTTTTTTTCCTAGTTTTCTAGAGAACTGTGCTATCATATGACTAGCTTTGACTTTTTTTATGGCCAACTTGCTTTATTTTTTACAATATAGATTTTTAGCTTTAAAACCACACTGACTGAACATTAATAGAAGAGGTTTGAAGCTCATATTCCAAGTTCTGATGTTTTTTGTTAAACATTGTATCAAGTCTGTTAGCATTGATGGCTATATCAGGTCTCTCACTTTGTCCTTATTTAGAGGTTAAACCATGAAATAAATCTTTTCATGATCCAAGATGAAAGGTTTTATTTCTGTTATGGTTTCTATAAAGTTTGGATGCCATCAGACAATAGTATTCCTATCAGCACTTAAGAAAAACCAATATTGTCCTAGTTACCTCTGCCACCGGATGTGGATGAAAGTTATGTTTTTACCCCTGTTTGTGTTTGTCAGCAAATATTTCTTGAAAACGGCTAAATGGATTTTGACATAACTTGGTATACATTTGTTTTATGACCCAACTTACAAGTGATTAGTTTTTGGAGGATCAAGGTCTCAGCAAGGTCATGAAAATTAAAAAATCCCTATCTGTTAACATGGGGACTAATTTTTCAAACTGTTTTTGCTCCATGTCTATGTCAAAAATGGTCAGATTTTGAAGAAACATGATGGACACATGTAGAATATTATTCCTCATTGTCTTGCCAAAAATGGTCCATGTCTGTTGATAACGACAGACATACAGACACATTGTCATATTTTTGAGAGCCAAATATGATCAGTGTTATACTGAATGACCCTCTAGTTTCTTATAAATTCATGTTTGTATATTACAACTTAACCAAGACATGGGTAGAACTGTTATCTTGGTAATCACAATGCCTATTGCATTATCAATTTCACTAAGTTTTTAAGATTTTTGTATCTGTGACAGTCTTATAATTCAAAATGACCTTCTTTGAATTATTTTTTGCTTCATATGTTTTTGTAAGATTTGTCAGTTCTCTATTTTATTGTTTCTTTCATCATTTTATTATAATGTTTTAATTATTCTTGAGCATTTTATTTGTGATTGAGAATTTACAAGCTGTATTGATAATTACAATAAACTAGACTCCACCCTCTGACCTTTAAACCTAGATCTAAAGTTCCATAAACAACAGACATCCATACAAATATTCTTCACTGTTAGATAACTAATGTTTCTGTCTGGATCTAGAAATACATCAAAGTGATATTCATTTTAGTCATTACTAAATGTATTTGATGCTGTGATGCCTATTCTGTTAATAGAAGATATCTTCAAGTCAAATGGCTCTGACTTAGTCACTTTATCAGGATCAAAATATTATTGTGATCTGTTTCACAATCTCTTATTTGGTTTTCATGTTGTTAGTAATGTTTCTATTGCAAATGAAAAAGCATTCTAACTTGCTGTCATAACTGAGTAGTAGTTTTGATATAAAAAGACACAGCAGAAAAAAAAACTCATTCAGCATGCATGTAAATAGTAGATCTGCTGAAGTGATGGTACAATGATGAGGCTCATCACTTGGCATACTATTTCAGGTTTTGTCAGTGTCCTCGTGAACTAGCTTTTCTCTCTGCTGCTACTTAAGTTTACACACGTTAGTCTTTAGATGACTTATTTTTCATTGCTCTCAAAAGGATGTTGCTTCTCACACATTTCAGATCCTATAATATTGATAATGAGTACTTACGGCCCAGATTGGTTTAACTTTGGATGCATTTTTTTTTAATCAGTCCATCCCTTTGCAGGTTAGAAGTTTTTAAAAAATTCCTGTACAAGATACTTAAGCTCTTTCAAGGATGTGCCTCTGGTTTCCATATGTCAAAATTGTTTTTAAAGATATATTCATCTTAAATAATGGTTTTTCTTTATAATCATCCTTATTGGGAGTTGTTTATTAATATGGTCTGTGTCCTCTGATATTTGAATGTGTACAACCACAAATAAAAATGCAATAAAACTTGTAGTTCATAGTTCTTATTTACAACATTCATATCACTTACACACAGATCCAAATATTGCATGAGTTAGTAAGTTAGAGAAGTTTAGTACTTGGTCTTTCTTTTGAGTTCTTCTTGAACTTTTTAAGTTATTTAGTATTTTCCATGCATAAAAAACTTACTTGATTTTGAATAAAACAATAATATATGCTGCAAAATATAATGTACATGTATACTCACATTATTCAGTAGAGGCATATTATGTACATATGAGTTAAAAAGTATTTTCTATCTACTTGTAACAAAAAACTCAGATAAGTTACAGATTTTTTCTTTCAGGGCTATCTTAAAGCTTTAGGAATGGCTCGCACTGCACAAGTAAAAAGAGATGCACGTATAGGAGAAGCTGAAGCAAAGAAAGATTCTCAAATTAAGGTGAGGAAACTTTGGATTTATATGTGTTTGTTTTTTTAAAGCATACTTTTATAAACTGGTCTATTTTTTGTGAAGATTTTATTTCACTGACTGTTGCCACTTCTTTGAGGCACAATGACCATTATTGCATCAGCTGGGCTTTTAGCTAGTAGACAAATGGGTTTACATACTGTACTGAAGGCATGATGCATTTGTAAGAGATAAATATATATCAATCAGAAGGTATCTGTAAAGTAACTTACATATACAAACAGTAACTGTCCACAAACTTTTATAAATACATTAATATGGCCCATATTACATTTTTACAACAAGCTTAAATTCTTTCTACTAGAAAAGATGTGTAGTTTTATTTCATACTTAATGTGAAGGCTAAAAGTACATAATTAATAATAAGAACTTAAAAAAACGTCCATTTAGTTTGGAAAACAGTAACCTCTTATTATTTAAGTGCTAAGCAAAAGTCAACATTTTATATATAAGGTTGGACACTCTGATAAACAGCTTGTGCCTTGTCTCAAGAGGAAGTATATATGTAATGTATCCAGACCAATCTCAGTGGAAGATTTCTGATAAAAAATTTGGGAGATTTTTCAGTAAGGAAAATAAGATCAAGTACAACCATTAACCACATTGAAAATAAAAAATGTAGTTTTTAATTTGTGTATGTTTATCACACAAGTAGCAACAAAATTGAATGTACTGTTAAAAACTAATATGGCCTGTAACTGTTATCGAAAATATTATTGTTTCTGACTTAGAATTCTGAACCATTATCTTCTGTTTTTTTCATTAGATCCAATGTTATAAATAGTATGAATAAAGTATCTTATCTACAGAAGTTGTCTTTCATTGTTTGGTAAGTGTACTTTTGTAGGGAAGCACATTATGGTAATACAGTAGTAAATTAACAAACAATGATTTGTAAGCACATATTCTTTTTTAATTTATCACTTTGGTAACTGTAATGTGCAAATTAATCATATTTGACCAGTTCGCCATCTGGTTTAAAATTGAAATACTCAGTGTCCAGATTCATTTAAGCATACATGATGGAATTGATTGTTTTGTTGTTAACGTTGCTCATCCTTTCTTGCTGATTTTTCTCAAGATATTGAATGATTTTAATCTGAAACATTGCTACATGTAAGCTTGGTGCTACTAAGGCCACTTTAAAAAGGTTGGCGAATCTTGGTTGGTCAGTGCAGTTGCTTTTGGCATTCTTCATGATAAGCAGAATGTGCCTATTCTTTTCTCTCCTGGAATGCATTTTGACAGGTCTGTAAGATGACTGACATGGTAGTGTAGGATCACTTCATTAAGCGTAGTCTCATCTGTGCAGGCGTTTAGTCTGTATTTTATCTTCCAAGTCAAGGTTGACAAAACAAGTAGTCTGGAGCATTGTATCTCTTGAACAGAAACTTCACGGTCATATTGTTGGTGGCATCTTTGTTGGTCTGATGTATGTGGGTGAAGAAAAGTTTCAACTTCTTTGAAATTACTTTATTGTAAGGTAGATAAGTATTGGCTGGCATTCCTGTGGCTAGAAAGTTGTCAGGTAGCTGGTTATAACATATGACATTGCATAATGTTTAGGCACAACAAGAGACCTATTGGTCCTTCTAGGCTATCACATCCTCTAAACTAAACTAAAACTATTAAATAAAAAAACCCTTCAAAGCCAACCCTTATCATTCATATAGTTATGAAGCTTTCTCTCAAACTTACTTAAATTTACTGCTTCCACAACATCCGAAGGGAACACATTCCAAAGACCAACAATCCTGTTAGAAAAATATAGCCGAAGAAACTGTAAAGCAAAATGTTGAATGTCTAATTAAAGAAAAATAACAAATTGGGTGTTATAAGATCATTTATTTCTAGTATTAAAATGTCTTTTGTAAAGAAAATATGCACTATAGAAAATAATACATAACTTATCAGAATGCTACAAAATTTACCTTTAACAGAGCTACCAACTGAGCTACTCATTATCTTTAATAAATAGAACCTCGTACTCAATTAGCTTTAGTTACCATTGTCAAGGGATTCAAGCTTTTCTCAACAACAACACCATATTCTTGTCCCTCCCTCTACAACTTAAAAAAAAACTACTCTCATAACAGTTCAAGCTCTTAACTTAACTTCACAGCTACAACAAATTTTTCAAAAGTCTCTTCTAAATTGACAGACCCACTAAAATTACATTTCCCAAACATACTTACCTCTTCTCACACTACAGCTATTACTCGACTGCCAGGATTTTTTCCTTTGTTCTTCTTAGCATTGGTCTGATTTTTTTTCACTTGCTCCAGTCTTTTATACCCCACTTAATTTCCCTTGGCAATATTTGTCTCATGACACTCTTTACCTACGTCAATGTGCCCTCTATCCTGGTACTGTATACAAGCACCTCATTCAGATAATGTTATCATTTTTTCAAGACTCTAGGCCTTCCCTTCCATTCATATGTTATTCAAGGTACTAACAGTGATTTGTTCCAACCTATTGTTGGGTCCTGTTGATAACACCGAATTGGCAGCTACACCCTTGTTTCTGCTTCTGCAGTACCTTCAGGAGTGTCCACCTCTTCCACTTCTTCTTAGGCCATCTCTGTGGAGGCAGCTATAATCTGACATGGTACACCTGGCTATCCACAAGCTCAAGCTTTATGCATAAAGGTTATGCAGTCTTTTGCATGGCATTGGGGTTTAATTTCTAAGGTTGCCATGTATCTGTCTCAGTACTTTTTTAGTCCTGCGATGGAAATAACACATATTGGTAATGGTGTATTGAGAGGAGGTTGATCCTACTTTGATCAGAACTGTCAACCATAACTCGTTTTTTGACCTGGCTCTTTGGCAAGGATTTTTTGCATCTTCCACAATTGTGACAAAATATTCTTTGAGTCTCCAGTACTCTCCAGATTCCTCAACTCACTTTGGGTCCTCTGTCCCAAATGACCATTCTAGTTACCTGACTTGTGTATTAAGGTTACATTACATGCCCTTTCTTAACACCTGTTTGTGACATTATTCTCATATGCCATGTATCACCTTTACTTGAAGGTTTATTTTTCATTGCTGTTGATCTACAAGCATTGCCGGTCCACAGAACACTTTAATGTTCTATCTATATCCTCAGACTCGTTCTTCTTGCCCAAGATACTGTCAGAAAGGGAGGAGGATGAATCCTTTTACTGATTCATCTGATCACAATTTCTCGCATCTATGTCTCTGATTAGATTTTGATTGTTGTTATGTTCAGTGATGGTCTTGAAAGTTTTCTGGCTCATACTAATGCCTTTAGAGATGCTAGACAATGACTTTTTATTCTGGGTGCTCTTTAAATGTGTGGAATCTTCTGCGAGTCACACCTAATCAGATTTTTCATGTTGAATTGCCCACTGGAGGACACTGTGTGGACTGGTATGTGGACCTTCTTGAATACTTTATTATTTGCATGATCTAGCAGTATCTTCATCTGAGTGTTTTTGTCTACCCCCCTATAGCTATTTTAACCACTTCTGCCAGATTATACAGAGGGGTGAGTATTTTCATTGCTTCCTTTAAGAATCCCTTACATCGTTTTAGAAGGATCCCACTCTGTGGCAAGTGTTGCCCAGGCAGGTGGGCTTTTATCAAACCAATTCTGCACTAGCAACCACTAATTCAATATATTTTATCTTGGTTGCAACAGGCTCTGTAGAAATGAGGTGTTCCATAAGACCACCTAGAAGTTGACTGGGTGGTATTACTTACTATGCTTAACCGTCACTCATAGACTATCATGAGTAAAGCATAAGGGGATCCTGCCTGTCCTTGCTGATCTTAGATTGAATAAATCAGGGTGGTTTGTTTTTAAAAATTTAGGGAACTTGTTTCACCTATTGCGCTATTTCCAGAGCACTGTCCCTCAAGGCTCCCCAATGTGTATTATTCCACATATTCTACTAGTGGAGCTAGTAAGTCCTTACCACACCCAGTTTCCAGTCACTTGGGTGGTGTACAGAGGCTTTACTTTCAGAATGTTAGAGTGAATTCCTTCACTCTTGGAGAAGAGGATGAGGTTGGGGGATCTCCTGCCTGTGTCCCTGGATGTTTTTTCTCAGATGTTGGTGGGAGAAGCACCAGCCTATGCGGGAGCCTACTCGTAATAACAATTCAGATTTTACGATTTGCTATTTGGTTGAGTTAAGCATGGCCCTCTTTTTGACCAATATTGTTTCAGTACATCTTTAATGGAAGAGGATACATTGTTTCCTCATAATTCCGAATGTAGTGTGGTCCCATCCTGGGTCCTTGATTGAGCACAGTTTGTTCCACATCCTCCACATAATTCCAGGGGCAAGTGGAATTTACCTTGCCTACATGGTTGGGGAGTGAGGATGAGTGTTCATAATTCCAGATCGGATGAGTTGTGTTTCCTCAGGTTGAGTAAGGCATATAAGATCCCATCATTCCGAGCGTGTGGTGTTGCCTTTCGGACTTCTTCAGTGTTGCTTACCTTTTTGTTATGATTCTGGTGGCTTGGAATGCATCACTATATGGTTGAAGGTTGGGATCCACTCATAAGTGTATGTATATATATATATATATATATATATCTTGCAGTCCAATTGCTCTAGCCACCAACGTGGGATATAGGGACCATGGCCCTATAACCTTGAGCAGTGGAATCTTGGCTATCTGGTTGGGCCCTGGCCAGTAGTGATGACAAATCATATAAAAATTCATCCACAGTGCATGAATTAAGTTCCCGGGTGAAGAACTTAATTCTAATAATGTTATAAATGACCCAATAACTCATTCAAAAATTCAAAATATTTTTCAACGAATCTATATGGAGTTTATTTCACCACAAGCAAAGACTGCTAATTTGATATTTTGTGCTGAAAGCAGAGAACTACCCTTACAAAACTACTTAATCTTTCTATGTTGGGCATTTTTTTGTAAATGAGCTAAAAAAAAGGTCTGACTTTTTACTTTGGGTTTTGACAGTTTATACTTATGTATTAATGGAACAAAAGTTATTTTATGATCTGTTATATTTCTGCACAAAATATATTCAATAAATAAATGCTACATATCTGGGATTATATGTGAAATATATTATTTCAATGAAACTACAGTGCAGAATGGAAATGCTTTTCTATAGTGTTTTACATTGCATAATTCAGAATAAATTTCATAGAAATTAGCAGAAACCGTATTTCTATTGCCATCTAGTGAGCACTGATTGCAATACATGATAACATGCAACTAAATTTGGGCAAATAATCAAGAGTACTATAAAAAATGGTTTGCCCAGGTTAATTCAGGCAAATATTTTTGAAACATGTAGGGTGCCAGTGTTATCTCAAGCAAATCACAGCAGTTAATGAAACATAGTAGCTGAGTGCACTTCATTTTTAATACAGTTTTCTTAACTAGTTCAATACTGTAAGATGTTCATTCAATATCATAGATCATCACTTACATGTATGGGTTGAACATGAATTAACTAAAGTGTCTGAACTACATTTTATACAATTCTGTGTAAACATAAAACCTGTTTAATCAGGCAAGCTGAGACACATTAAAGAAACATTAACTATGCTACACTTATCTGACTTATTAAACTGGATGTACAGTGCAGATTTGATACTAAGTATACCTGATCAGGCACCACTCACCACAGAGTGGGATACAAAACATATGTATCAAAAAGCCACTGGAAAGAAATGAAAAACAAATGGAGTAGTCCATATACTTGCCTCGATGATGTTCTCTTGGCAAAGATCAGCCAGGGACGGATCTGATGGGAAAAACACAAAAAAGACGACAAACTTCCAGAGAAAAGGAAGAATACACCAGGCCAAGTGACTAGTGAATCTAACCTGTAAGTACTCAAGATGGGAAAAATTTGTCTACAATTTTAAACAAATGTCAAAAGTCACCTGATCACCTAGAATTATTCCAAAAATGGAAAGAACTTGAGACAAGACTAAATACAAACACAGCTATTGATTATGAAAATCAATCCATTGTTGAAGCCAAAATGCAGCACTGGCAGAATGTGTTGGTAAGGCTTATTACCTTAATAAGAGTACTTGGTACTCAAAACATAGCACTGGATAGGAGTTCAGATAAACTGTTTGAGCAAAATAATTTAAATTTTCTCAAATCTATGGAATTAATGGGATGTTTGATGGTGTGATGAAAGAACATCTCAGAAGAATCATGAGATTCACAATCATTACTTAGGTAAAAATATTCAAAATGAGATCATCCAGTTATTGGGAACACAGATTAAGGAAACTTCTGCCAATGCTTAAAACAGCAAAATACTACTCAGTGATTTTGGATTGCACACATGACATAACTAAAATTGAACAAATGACTCTGATATATAGATTTGTGTCTGTGAACGAAACCTGTAGTAAGTTGGCAGGCAGAATAAATATCCAAGAGCATTACGTGGAATCTCTAGAATTAAGAAGATTCAAGTGGAGCTGGAATGCCTGAATTACTTATGCAGAAACTTTGTGAGTTGGGACTTAACATTGCAGACATGAGAGAACAGAGATAAGACAACAAGGTCAACATGAAAGGAAAAATAGCAGAGTACAAAAAAGGATATAAGACTTGAATCTATTAGTTTTTCTTCTATGCAATTCCCATTCACTTAACTTTGTGCTAAATGATGTAGCTAATTATTGTACAGAAGATGTTGAGTTTTTCAGCCTAATTCAAAACATATATGCCTTTTACTCAGCTTCCACACATCGTTAAGATGTTCTTAAAGAACACAGCAAAAGCCTAAATCTTACAGTGAAACCATTCAGTAAAACTAGATGGGAAAGTGAATCAGTAGCAGCAAAGGCAATCTTGTATCAGCTTGGTTAGTGTCAAATTCCCTTCTCTATATTTCAGAGGATAGTAATTTCACAGAAAGAAACAGTGTTAAATCACGGGCAGAAGCCAGATTTATTGCAGGTAAAATTCTAAACTTCTAATATTTTTGAAACTTAGTAATTTGGTATGATATACTGTATGAAATAAATATAAAAAGCAAAAAATTGCAGGCAGTGAATTTTAATCTCTCTCAAGCAATTGTGCAGCTGGTAACAACAAAAACAATCTCCAGAATTATCAGACAGACAAGTACTTTGCAGGGGCATGGACAAATGCAAGAGAGTTGGCAGAGGAACTTAACATTAATCCCTGCTTTCCACCTGAACTGCAAGTTTGATCTCAACTGAAAAAGAAACAGTTAAACTATGAAGCAGAAAACAGGCCTATCAATAATTCAAAACAGAAATTTAACTTTTTTAATAAGTTATTGGACTCTGCTATACATTCAGTGGAAGAATATTTTACACAGCTACAGGAACACAGTAATGTGTTCAAAATTCTGTAAAATATCCCCAAAGTTTCTGAAATGGTAACAAAGGATATAATTTACCAGTGCAATGTTCTTAAAATGGCTCTCACCTGCAGCAATTCAAAAGACATTGATGCACTTGAATTATGTGATAAGCTAAAAGCTCTGTCCAGAAGAATGGATTTGGGATCAAGACCTAAAGATGTATTGGAATACATTTGCAAGAACAATATGTTGTCTGTGTTTCCATCTGTGTTGCCTAGGGCAGCAGAATGTGTAAAGCCAATGCTGTTAGTATCACACTACAATATCTTACAACTCACAGTAAATGTTTTACACACTTTCCAAAAATAATCACTAATGTTTCTAATGTTACTTGAGTTTCCTTACATTAATAACATGCACAAACTTTAATTGCCATTTTCTTTTGCAATCTACAGCTCAGTTAAAATGTGGATTTTAAATGTATATTGTGAGTGTGCATTCAGTATTTGTCTATAACAACAAACATCATAAAGTGGGGCAGCCCAAATAGTATGAGGTTGGTACAAGTATATCTGTCTTCATCATTAACCTTTGATCAACAGCATGTTAGATGTAGATTAATTTTGTTGGATTCACAAATGGGAAAGAAAAACGTTCATTGCACCCAGTGAAAATTTTAATCTGTTTGTATGAGAAAATATGTAAACAGGTTGTACAAAACTGACATATCACATTTACATTGATTGATGAAAATGAAAGAGAGTAGCTTGTTCACACATGGCCATACTACTTTGTTAGCATTTTTTTTCTCAATACTGTTCAATGAGTTGTGGTGACAGTTTTACTCTGTATGTTGAAAGTTATCAGGATTAAATTTTTTTTTGGTATTTTTAAATCTAAGTTAAGGATTGCAATCATAAATGGTAAACGATGGAAATGGTGAATTTTGTTATATTAACTTTAGTGTTTTATTGCTTGAATTTTAGGAAGCTATGGCAGAGGAAGAACAAATGGCAGCACGTTACTTGAATGATACAGAGATTGCCAAGTCTCAGAGAGACTTTGAACTGAAAAAGGCTATTTATGATATGGAAATTAACTCAAAGGTATTCAGAATTTTGAGAATTTGATAAAATTAGTTAAATATAAACAAGGAATTTGAAGATTGCAAACAAATTTTGCCATTTGCACTTACTAGAATGTAATCCTTTTCATGTTTCTGTATTAATATAATTAAAATTTATCATAGCTGTATAAATATTGTTTGTTGTCTAATGTGCTTATTACTAACAAACATTGATGTTCATATTGGTTGTTCACCCCTCAGTGACACAGCAGTATGTCTGTGGACTTACAATGCTAGAAACTGGGTTTCGATAACTGAGGTGGGCACAGCACAGATAGCATATTGTGTAGCATTGTGCTTAACTACAAACAAAACACATTGATCATTATATATATCTTAAAGTTCTTTTTAAATCCACTTATTCATCCATTCATATGACTATATTTAGTACAGAACTGATAAATTAAACATTTGCTATTATAGGTTTAGGATGATGCAAGTTTATCAAATCTATAAAAAGATAAACTTAAAACTGAATTATGTATTTTGTACCAATCTGTGTGTATGATACATGAGAAACATCTTTCTTCAATTAGAAAGCAGAATCAGATATGGCATACAGTCTGCAGGCTGCCAAAACACGGCAGAGAATTAAGGAAGAACAGATGGAAGTGAAAGTGGTGGAACGCACTCAAGAAATACAGGTGCAAGAACAAGAAATACAGCGAAGAGAGAAAGAGCTGGAAGCAACCATAAGAAGGCCTGCTCAAGCTGAGAAATACAGATTGGAAAAATTAGCTGAGGCAAACAAGTGTGTTCTTCTTTAAATATCTATGTCTTAAAAGTTTATAAGCAAGTTTTTACTAATTTCATTCTTCCTTTTACATAAATGCTACAGATTTTATATTCTTTAATAACCTTCCAGTTGTAGTCTGTCCCAGTAAAGAATTTGAAAGTTATGCAAAATGGTATTTTATTCTATACAATGTATATGAGGACTCAAGATTGATATTGCTTGTAACAAAGAAATGATTATTTTACTATGTATATTCAAAACTCAAAGTGAGATTCAGGTTCCTGTGAAGATCAGTTATGCAATTTTTTTTATTGTTTTGTTTATAGTTTTGTAGCTACTAAACTTATTCCTATGTTTTAGAAATCGTATCGTTATGGAAGCAGAAGCTGAAGCAGAGGCAATTCGTGTAAGTCTTTACAAATACATAAGTTTGAAGATATTTTGAGAAATAGGCTTAACTTTCATAGATGCTGATTGGTAATTAATGTAGTATAATTACAAAATTTTATTCTTTTTAGATAAAGGTATAAGAGGAGTCTTCAGATTTGGCGAATATGGATTACATCATTATTTAAGAAAAAGCAACCATTAATTTCTGATACGAAACTGTTGCCCTCTATTGGTGCAAATGTTCGCTCACCACTAGACTTGATACTCTCACTTACCCTCATGTATGTTAACATGAGTTATCTGCATGCTAACATGCAAATGATTATGCAGGAACCTTCTACCAATAGGAGTGCAACAATACACCTATCATAACTAGCACCCTCTCTAATCTTGCAAACTGATTTTTTAGCTTAATTGACAATGTTCATAGTTTAATTTTTTGGCTGTGTATTATCTTTTTCTCTCAGCCATAACTTTTTTGAATTTTGTACGGTTTTGAGAATTCTTTTTGGAGTTAAACTTCTCTCTTTTTTTTTTTCCTGTCAACTACATTCATCATATACACTCAATTCCATGTGGCTTCTACCTCAATGTTTCTCAAAATTTGTAGTGCACACTGGAGGGATTTACACATTTTGATTAAAGGGTTAGAGAAAAATGATTTTTAAACTCCAGGTAATTATAAAAAAAACTTTTTATTTGAACCAATGTTTTGCTTTTGCAGCTTCATCAGTGTCAGTACCTGCAATTGATGAAGCTGCAAAGATGATACATTGGTTCAAATAGAAAGTTCTTTTATAATTATCTGGAATTTAAAAATCATTTTTTCTTGAACCTTTTACTTTAGTGGCTGTAACTACTACAGCTGATTTAAAAGAACCTGAGCACATTATTAGCTTGAGATGTAATGGCTAGTTTGCGGAGAGATGGCTACATTTTTGAGGACTTCTGAGCACCTGATGATTGTTCTCTTCTACTTTGTAATGCTTTGCTTGGAAATAACGATGAGGATTTGAGCTGCCTAGTTCCTCCTACTTTCTATGATTCCCAGTTGCGTGGCATTTCTTGGGAGGTGTCCAGGCTTCCTTTCCCTTTGATAGTTCTATTCAATCAGGTAGGATATGTTTTATCATTGCCTCCCATTTCTTTTCATTCTGTTCCTGCTCTTCTCAGTGATGAGCCATTGGATCAGTTTTAGTGTTCCCTGAACACCTCAAGTTATTGAGGCTCCCAAGAGTGGTTTTGGAAAACAGTTAAGTTTGGAGGTATGTATAACTCGACCCCCATGTACTTTGAATAACCATGCTCTGGCATGTTGTCATTCTGACTTCCCTCCATAAGCTTACAGAGTTTGGTGTAGCTTGACCCTTTGTGAGGATCGAACCCCTTTTCTTCGGTTTTTGAGTATGGTACTTTTGTTTTGTACCAGCTGATTTTTTTTGGGGGGGCACATTCCCGAATCTCGGAAGCCCAGGGTTAGATCAGCCCTTTTGCTTGACTTTCTTTCTCCCACATCCCCTTATCCCAGTACCTCCCCAGGGTTGGTTCTGACCTCCTGAATATTTTCAGTTTGTCTTTGGTCTTTGGGGCACTGTTTATGGGGCAACCAGCAGTCATGGTAACTTCAGAGGAGAAAAGGTGTTTGGGCCCAGTGGGGGCCGGGCTCATATCCCCTAGGTGGGACAATGTTATGTACATAGGCTTTCAACACCAGGGTTCCATTGCACATGGTGGAAGCAGCAATTAGCCCAGTGTGGCTTTGCTCTATAATATACACACATTCCTACTCCATCAGACATGGTACAACAGTGTTTCAACTGCTTTGCCCAAGTTTGGAGATAATTTTTTACAGATCCTTGGGTTCTGAGGTGATCACATTTGGTCTGTTCCTTTTTTTGAATTTCCCCTCTCCTCGGTTTTCTGTTTCCTGCCAGAGGGATTTGCTTTTCAAGGATGCTATCATATGGAGAGATCCCTATGTTTGTGGTTCTTATTCTTGCCTGTTTGTTGTTCCCTCAAAGTTAAGGGACTAGTACTCTATCATCACTTAGTCAGTTTTGAACCATTTATTAGTCCTTCTACTTTTCATCATGGGGTCATAAGTTGTCCTTTGTTAGGTTTTCCCTACTGGTTTGTGGAGAATGAAGGTTTTGTGTCAGATGCATTCCTCCTCATTAACTTCTCCCCTGCATTCTGTCTTTCTTCATTGGTCCATAGGGTTGTGTTTTCAGTCCAGATTTCTCTGTTGGACCTCTCCTTGGCTCCTTACAGTTTGGATGGTATAGGTTTTTGTTCATCTTGCTCCTTTCCAGGAGCCATCTTTTCCAACATAGGAAGGATGTCTGGCTTCCTCATGTGTTTTATTCACCCCATGCAATACATTCATGCAATCATTCATCTTATTTCCTACTCAGTTGGGCCCAATCTTCTCCCTTTTTGGCTTAGGGCTAAGGCAATTCTAATTTGCTGCCTCTCTTCCTCTACTTTTCCCATTTTGCATTAGGTTCTCTCTCATTTAGGGACATGGGCTTTTCAGGAAGCCCTCATCACTATTGGTCATGGCCTTTTGTGTTGTCTTCTGTAGATTTGTTGGTCCAGAGGAGTCTTGTTTAGAATCTGTTAGTGGCTTCTTTCATCCTTTCTTCCTGACCGACTTAGCCTAGTAGGCTGGATTGGGTCCAAACCTTTTTAGGTGTTCCTCCTCCGAGTCCATAATGTCTCTTTTTTTTTCAGGTGCTTCTCTTTATGGTTGAGATGATTTTCTGGCTGCTCAGGAGGTTTCTGGTTGGTGCTTTCTCTCAGAGTCATTTTGCCTTTTCCATCCCTGTGGGCTCCTAGCAGTTCGTTGGGCTCTGGTTCACATTCTTCCAGTTCTACAGGGACAGTCAGTAGTAGTATTTTACGATTACTCGTTTCTAGTCTCGTATTTCTTCAGACAAGTGGGCACTTGGTTAAGTTACCTCATGTGTAGGCCACTGGTCCTCCTGTGTTTGGCCACAGCTTTTACATTCTTGTGCTGGCTTGTCATATTCTGGGTGCCCTGTATCTCGTAGATCATTATCACTGGCTCTCCCCTGTAATGAGGTCCACACTGATTTTTTCCATGGTAACTACTCCTGTTGTTTTTTCCTTGGAATCTTTCCCAGTCCTGTGGCCATTATGGTAGGATTTGCCAGTAGATTTGCCTAACTTATTTTTTCCTTTCTCCAGATATATGATGTGATTTCCAAGCATTTCTTTTTATATTTGTCACCTTTTCCTGTCCCTGGCTTGCTCATTTACATCATCTGTTGGAGGACTTCTTTGGTACCACTATGTGGATCACTCCCCATACCTTTTCTGTTTATTATCTTCACTAACTGGCTGGACAAGGGATTTTGTCTTCCTTCAGTCACCATTTTACACTCCTCTGTTTCTTTGTGAGTGGTAAGTACTCCATTTATTTTATTTTTCTTTGCAGGGGCCTTTCTTGCATGCTTCGATCCCACTCTGTGGCGAATGTTGCCCGATCATGTATATTTAGTCTTAAATATGCACTGTAAGACCTGTGATCATATACCATGTTAGATGAGCATGATGTTGAGGCTCATCTTACTGTGGGCCTGATGTACAATTCCAGATGTTGCCAGGTGTTGGTTGATGAACTCCGTCAACATGTTCTTTGAGATGGGGTGATCTACAGGGCTGCTAATAGGTATACTTCATGGTCTTGTACTTCATAAATATGTTTGTCCTGGCCCATACACTCATGGACTAACATGAGTAAAGCAGACAGGGAAGCTCCAGCTGTGATGATCTATGGCATTTGAGGCTCTTCCTACCATGGACCAGATGTACAATTCCAGATGCAGAAAATGTTGGTGATCGACTCCATCAAAGTGATTATTCTGCTTTTCAAAATAGGATATTTCTGGTGCTGCAGTCCTCTGGACTCTCCAATGCACCTTTTCTCTACTTTCTTCTAGTGGAGTATGGGAGTCCATGCCACTTACCAGTTCCTAACTGTTGGAGTGGTGGACCATGGAGGCCTGTCTTGGTGAATGTGCACAATCCCACTCAGTTGAGAGTAGGGTAGTGGCATTCGGCCAGTGTAGATGGCATGATGCCCTTCTTACCATATACAGGATGTTCAATTCCAGTACCATCGTGGGAGACTGGACCAATTCTTTCTTTGTTTTTGCCCATTTGGTGACATATCACTAATACTCTTTGCTTATTAGTAATGTGTTGCCAAATGGGCAAAAACAAAGGACCCTTTCAAAAAATTGTAATTGTAAGAAGTAATGGGACCCCTTGGTGTAGAGTGGCTAGGACGTAACAGACTGTGTATGGGAGTTTGACCTCAACCAACACCTGGTAGCATCTAGACTTGTACATCAGGTCCGTGGTAGAAAGAGGGTTCTCTACCTTCTACCTAAAAAATGAGTAATGGCAGGGAAGAGAAGCTTCCGTACCAAGAACCTGCTTCTGGATGCATACACCTCCAACTCAACCAACACCAGATCTACCAGGAACCGACATCTGGAGGACAGTAGGAAGGTGGAGAGCCAAAGTGGGTGTTCATCTCCCATCCAAAACCAGATGGCAGTGGAAACTTATCATCCAGTCTGCAGTAGGAAGAGGGTAACCATCCAAACACATGGAGGACTTATGTGGCAGATGATAGGATGGAGGGTGCCTCAGCCAGAGAGGCAAACTACAATATATATATATTTGTTTTTAGTTCCTTCTCACACCCCATAGTTTTCCTTTGGGTGCTTCCTTAAGGGGGATCATCTTCTCAGTGTGGGATTCTAGCTTTTTGTGAGAAGAGGTAAGATATATATCAGAAAACTGAAAATGTATTACTGATGGATATTTAATTCCTCTCACATTTCCCATCCATCCTCCCCCCCTCCAGTGTGGATTGTGTGATCTGACCAATCTCAAATTGGTTAACAGCTGCTAGACTAGAGAGGGTGCTAATTACAATAGGGGTAGTGTTGCACTCCTATTGGTGGAGGGTTTCTGCATAATCATTTGCATGTTAGTATTCAGATATCTCATGTTAACAAACATAAGTGAGAGTATCAAGGCTAATGGCGAGTGAAAATCTGTGCTGATAGAGTGAAGTATAAGTCAAGAAAGCTTTTTGTGAGAGGAGATAAATATCTATTGGAAATACATTTTGAGTTTAGGAAATTGTTAACTTTACAAGCATTATAACTAGAATTAACATTATGTGAGGGTATCTGAAAAATTGTACATTTTCACAATAAAAAAAGATAGTTATCTCTTTAATTATATCAATTAAATTGAAAGATGTCTGAGATAATTTGATTTAGAGCACATACATGTCACAATTGAGGAGGAAACTTTAACAGAAGATATTAGTTTGCTGTCATTGACTTTCATAAGTACCAATAACACTAAAGTTATAGAACCATACATCTTAATACAATAATAGTATGATATTCTGAATGTCTTTTGCAATTTTCTCTTTGGGATATTTTATCTTGATGCAAATGAAAGTTTACTTTTATTCATGCATTACAAGTCTTATCAGTAGCTAGAGTACCTAAGGTTTTTCATTCACAATACATTCTTCCCAGCAATACTACTCGCCTCTAAACAGAACAAATAACTAGCACTCAGTACTATTGTCAGATTTCTTTTTTGCTTATGTATCTCTGAATGAGCTCTCACCCCTACATGTAATTGTGTGATCTGCAGTAGTCTATAATGCAACTTGCATTAGACTATACCTCTTCAGCAATAGGAGGGTGACACATCCTCCTTGTACAGTATATTGAGTATATTGTTGAAAGTATAGTCTAATGCTGATTGAATCATAAACTAGCACAGTTCATGTTATTACATGTAAGAGTGAAAGCTTGTTCAATGCACGAAAACTTTGGCCAGCAGTACTAAGCAATAGCTGTTTGTTCTGTGTAGAGGTAAGTACTTGAGTGTTATTAATTCAATTTGTTTTACCTAGTTATGTGAAAACTTCAATGGATTTATATCAAATTTATACTATGAGTGAAAAAAAAAACATTAACACCATTGGACTATGTTATCTCATTAAGAAAGTTTAAGCAACACTTTGACCTATTTATGCAACATAAATATTTGTATCTTACTTTAAATCTGTTATGAAAGTCATTTCTGGTATATTTTTGTCATGGTGTATTTAATGTTATACAAAATTATTATATGTATTTCTCTCAAAATTTGCAGAGACCTTTTATGTAATAATTTTCTATCGTAAGTAGCAGTTCCTTTATGTAAATTTAATAATATCATATAAACTTAACCTTATGACCAATTTTGTATTCCTACACAACAGTTGTACTGGGAAGGCTGTAAAAAACACCATTGTACATCTCAGTTATTTTACTTTAATTACATGAACTGTCATTATGCCAAGTTAGTATAGGCATATGATAACAGTTTTTCAATTTTCTTTAATTTGTATAGCTCAAAGGAGAAGCTGAAGCATTCTCTGTGGAAGCTAAAGCTAAGGCAGAAGCTGAACAAATGGCTAAAAAAGCTGATGCTTTTAAAGAATACAGTCATGCAGCAATGGTTGATATGATCTTGGAAACCCTACCAAAAGTAAGAAATTGAATTAAGCACCATCCTTTGATGTTGTATTTAAACTCTCTTTAAACAATATATTTTTTCCAATACAATTTATCTTAAAATGACATTATGTACTGAGTTGTACATCTTATGAATTGAAGGTACATTTGTTCAAAATTGTTTACTAGATAGCATTGTACATCTTATAAATTGAAGGTATATTCATTCAAAATCTTTTACCAGACAGTGTTGTACATAGATCAGTATACACATAGAAAATAAGAGTTTCAAAATAAATGTTAAACAAAACTAAATTTTACTGTAACCTAATTTATATTTATTGTATAATTTTAATAAAACAGATTATCTTTTCAATCCATGTTCTTTCATCCTATGTCATGCTTCCTTCTGAAATGAAGATGTTTTTATTTGCTTGTTTTTATCATATTGTATTGTATCACTGGTAGCACAGTATTCCATTTATCTTGTATATGACCAACAGCATTGGTTGGAATGTTTAATTTATAAAGTTTTGCCGTTGTTTATTATTATACTTATATTATAGAGTTTGTTTTGCATTGTTAGTGTAATTTATCGATTTAGAATTAACTTAAATATTTTAAGTTGACATAATTTTGTGAGATACTATTGGGTTTATGGCTGAAAATATCATTGCAACAATATGGATACTCAACTGATGAAATAACACAGGTCTGCGATGGTTTTATTGTCTTGAAATTTTTACATGTTCTACACTAATTCCTTTATGTTGAATCCAAAAATGATATCCATTTCTCTCCATCACGTACAGATTTTTCACAAAAAATCATACGTACTTTTACATAAATTAATCATTTTCATTGAAATCTGGTCACATTTTCTTATGTTTTAGATGTTAACAACCATTGGCTAAAGATTTCTCTATACCAATCACGATGTGAGAGTCTTATCAATTGGTCTAAAACCCATGAGAAATACACCACTAGTATATAAATGGTTAGTAGGCCGCATGATGTGTCATTATTACTGGATTCTTCAGAGATTTTGGGGTCAGACTTTGGGCTAAGAACTTACATCTCCAGGAACATCATTTTACTGGTACAGAAATTGTGAGAAAGTGTTTATGCCATACTTTTCGCAAGAAGATTCACTGGTTTATTGCAACAATATTGCTGAATTAATACCAATGCTAGGAGCTGCAGTCTATGAACTAAGTGAGTGGTGATTATTCATTGATTCCTCCAAAGAAGTCTAAAAGGTGTTCTCCCTCACTATGGTAATATATATGCATCTGTTCCTATTCATCATTTGACTCACTTGAAGGAAATGTACGAAAGTCAAAAAACAATGAACATGAAAGTTTGGTT